TAAACAAGACAAGCATTAACCATTCTCTCTAAAACCTTACAAAGACAACTAGTCAAAGCGATGGGAAGATAATTAGAAGGATTCTTGGGATCCTTGGCAGGTTTAGAAAAAAGGAGAACAATAGCCTTGTGCCAAGTATAAGGAAAAATGTGCTCCTGTCAGATCCAGTTAAAAATAATCAGAAGAATCGCAAGGGAAGCAGGAGAGAGATAGTGCAGCATATCATAATGAACATCATCAGGTTCGACCAATGTACTACCAAATCGACGAAGAGCAATTTTGAGTTCCCCTGGTGTAAAGGGGCTATTATAGTCATAGAGATCATTGCTCTGAAAGGAAAGAGTTGATTGCTCTGCCCAAGATTTGATGGCAAAGAAGACAGCAGAAGAGAAAGAAGTGCTAGATGCACGAGAAAAGCTGTAGCCGAGAGTAGCAGCAATTCTCTGGATATCAGCAACTTTCTGGCCATTGAAGATCAAGAATGAAAGGGGTGGGAAGTAAACCTCCCAGTAACTTTCCGAATCTTGATGTCATCGAGATTAGAATGAAAACCTCGACAGTTTCACTGTATCAAAGTGGCCATTTTTATGTAGGTGGAGGAGAACAGAGTAGAGAACCCCTCAGTTTTCGACCACGTCATTTTTCTTCACTAGATGAAGGTTGATCGACCTCCATGGATCCTGCCCTTGATCGAGTGGGCAGATCTCTGTAATCAGACTGCGAATCCAATGACTGTGGGTATGATCGAATGATCATCCTGCATTTAGGGGCCAAAGAAGGACCCAAGTGGACACCAGGGGCCAGTGCCAGAGGAGGTGGACTCAGGCAGTCACTGGAAGGAATAGTGGGGACAGAGATTGGAGTAAATGTAGACTGGTCAACTCTATCATCCATGGAGGGCAGGAAACCCCTCACATGTAGAGTACAGCAAGGTCCCTCTGCAACCCCACCATAGCAGTGAACATAGTGCAGTGACATATGTCCAAGATGAAGTAAGAAATAACAGCTACTGAGTCCCAGGGTAAGAAATGTTGTTAACAGTCTTCAAATGCTAAACCTATTTCTCCTCCACCCACTTAGGGCAAGACCCAAAGTAAAAGGGGTGGGAACCACTGCAGTTAACACAGTGTGGGTCCAGTTTGCACTCGTAGGTATCATAGTCCTTCCCACCACAACGAGCACACGTCACAGAACCACGACAAGGTGTCTTCGAATGACCGAACTGCTGGCACTGGAAACATCAGAGAGGGTTAATAATATTTGACCATAGCTTACAATTACAATAACCTGCCTTAACAGTGGCAGGTGGACGTGGTGATGAAAACGTCAAAATCGAAATAGAGTTTGGCACCATAATACCATCTTGAGGAGAGGAGTATCAACAAACTGCTGAAACTCCTTGTCTAGAGAAACCAGCATGGATCTCTGACTCGGGGGGGTATAGTCTTCAAGTTTCTCTCAAAGTTACCTCCTTGTAAGTAATTCAAAGAAGCGTGGGGAGTAACCTCAACGAGTATATTCCCAATGACCTTTGAATTCAAGAGGAGTTCACTGTGCTTTGATGTGGAGGTTTTAACCAAGATGTCTCCAGAACGAAGCTTTTTAACTGACTCTGAAAGACCCAGCAAGCCCCTTTAATCCCTTCTGTATATAAAAGGGAGACATTTGCCCTCAATATTTGTCACACAGGGAATGCAAGATCAGGAAGCGGGGTACAGGTTTACATTGTGGTGGACCCTGCTGTTCAGAGTCTTCAAGGCGTGGATGTTTACCAATAGGTAGAGTTTTTACAATTTTTTATTAGGATTTTGGGGATTCATCAAAAAAGAGAAAGATTCAATGCCAAAGACCCCACCCGTCATGGAGTCCTACGAGGAGATGCACTACTAAGTCAAACAAGGACACTGCAGCAATGCCAGGGTTTCGTGAGCACTATACCCAAACACCAGCATCAGACATGGTGCCAGCAACACCCATTGAGAATGCCCAACACTGGTACTCAGTTGACCCGAGCCCAATAAAACCAGCTGATTCACCTTCAGGAGGCCACCCATCTTCAGGAATTCAAGGGCAAAGTGGTGTGTTGCAGTGCCCCAGACACCACTCAACCACCAGGATCCTCTCCTCCCCTTTACAGGTCGCCACGCATGGCAAACACGTGGGTGGATGTTTAAATCCCAGAAGAAGTAACTGAAAATACAGAACCTACCATGGGAGGTCCCCTCACTACCACGTACAGGAATTCAAGTCAAGGGGTTATAACTAAGAAACTATTGTTTGTTTGAAAAATATCAAATAATATTTGTGTAATCTCCAAAACTTTCTAAACACTTTTCAAATGTTAGTTTTAAATGAAACTTTATATTTTTTTTATATTATTTTCTCTACCCGAACCCTATAAGGTCTGTCAATTTGACTGACCTTGTATCCACCATAAAATATTAGGAAATAATTATAAATTATGTTTTTTCATTCTAGAATGACTACAGATTATAATATAAAACACAAATGTTTAGTCTAAATAGCTTAAATCTCATAAAATTACATTTATATACATTTATTATTTTTTTGTTATACTGACCTTCCAGCCATGCCGGGCTAACAATACAGAAGTTACAATGATGCAGCGCACATGCACTCGTAATACTGTATTCATTAATACAAAATGACCTGTCATGACTGTGTTTCAGTGGTCTAGTATTTTGTAAAATACAGTCACATTTAAATTATTATACATTATATATGTACATACACGAATACTGTTTACAAATATATTCTTACACTTTATTTTCTTAACACATAGAACAATAAACAAAGAAGTAAAGCAAATAATTATCTCTTCTAGTTACGACCTTTGTACTCGTTTGCTGCTTGTTGTAGGTTGCTAAGCCTTATGAAATTTCCATGGAGGAAGTGAAAAGAAAATGTTTTTAAGGTTTCATATTGTTACGCCTCCGTTCGTTAGTTAATTTTCCGTAAAAATTCTTCCGAAGGAACTTTAGCGATAAAAGTCTTTTCTTAAATAACACTGGTTTATTCTTTCCGAATACAACTTTGCAATACACTTAATTTCCACAGTCGCGCTATAACAAATGCTATAATTCACAACGAACGTCTCACCTGCTTGACTCAACTGTCAATTACACATTTTTATTGCCGTCACTTCTTGGCGGCTTATATATACAAACTACGACATATCTAGCAGCCTCTCAAGACTTCAGAATATGACGTGTTACCAGCGTCACGTGACTCTCGCTTTCGTAACACTGCCCCTTCTATAGTATTGTTCATCCCAAACAATAGCTACTTACATTAAACCTATAAACAATTAACAATAATTTAATTAAATGTACAGAATTTACAAACACA